GATGGTCTCGATCTCTTGACCTCGTGATCCACCCGCCTCGGCCTCCCAAAGTGCTGGGATTACAGGCTTGAGCCACCGCGCCCGGCCTTGTAACTGGTTGTTTTATGAGGTAGTAAGCTTCCCATCTCTGGAAGTAATCAAGGAAAAGTTAGCTGATCATCTGTCAGGAATTTTATGAAGGGGACTCCTGCACCTTTTCTAAGTGAGGTGATGTTGCCTCTAGATCCTCTGTTTGAATGGTTTCATGTAACAACAATGACAGTTTAAATACTTACCAAATTCTTTTCAATATCTTGATCTGTGTTTACCTCTGAATCAGCCGTCTTAAAATCAGTCTATAAAGGAAAAAACAGTTTTATTTAGAACTGTTCAGAGACACTTTAAAAGAGGCAGAATCACTAACTCCTAGAATTCTGCCAGAGGTAACTAACTTTTTGCTGTTTCCCCTTACCAGCTCCCAAGCAAGCTAAGCAATGTAGTTCTGGCAAATGGACACCAACATATACACTGCATTAATCATCGGTTCCACAAAATAACCTGAACAAGACCCAATGATTGAGAGAAAGCCTCAAGTCTGAGATGAGAAGTTTGCTCTCTACAGTCTGTTGTGCCCATGCTTTCTCCTACAACAAAGCCACCCATCACTAGAAGTCAGGACACACTGTACTTCTTAAGATGTGACTCAGAGAATTAACAAGGATTCTTCCTGCAAGGACAAAGGTGATAAATATGAATGCTAATGTCCTGCACTCATCAGTTACTCAGTGAAAGACTATAAGTAGGCCATAAAATTCCTACTTGCCATAAGATTAGATAGTGGCTACTGACTTTCTTATTTACTGAACATCAGAATGAAGTCATTGCATGGCACTGTATGAAAGCAGTATGACGGTTGCTAGCAAAAAAAAAACAAAACAAAAAACAAGACATAAAATTCTCCACCAAATGTGAAGAACTACCTCCTACCCTGAACCCCTCCCCACCAATTCCATTTTAGTGGCAGAAACTCGACACATGACCTGCACAGCAATGTTCTGAGAAAGCTTCAGGGAAGAGCTATCTTGATCATCATCCTGATCCACTCGGACTCCTTCAACCCCATTTGCTGGAGGCATTACAGGTCGGAAATCCAAGCCCGTGTCCCTGCTGCCTTCCTTTAGGATGGAGGCTTGTGGGGATTTCTCTTCAGAGCAATTCCCGGAGGCAAGCTGCTTTGTATGGCACCCTGCCTTAAGAGACCGAGCGACTGGATGGAGGCTCTCCCGGAGGCTTGTGTCCCCTCCTTCCTCTCCTGCTGTGCTGGCCACGTCCTTCAAATCAGACTGAGACCCACTGCCAGAAAGACAAAGGGCTGTGGCTACCAAGTTTTCTCCTAAAACCGCCTGGTGCGCTGCAGAAGTGTCACCTGCTGATGAACCAGGATTCGGCTCCGAGTGCTCCAAGTGGACATTTCTGTTATTCTCCTTGGTTATCGTTTGGCTACTTACACTCAATAGAGGCGAGTTCTTCTGCTTCTGTGCAGAGTCTTTAGTGCTATCAAACACATAATATAGAAAGAAAAGTATATAATACTTTCAATATAACTACTAGAAGAACAAAACTAGACTATGTAAACCCTCCCCATTATCATAATGAAGAACTTACTTTAAACCCAGTGATTTCTATGCCATGTGCAGGTAGCATAACTTAGTGGTTAAGACCTAGTTTTGTATTTCTTTTTTTTAAGAGAGGATCTCACTCTGTCACCCAAGCTGGAGTACAGTGGTGCAATCAAGACTCACTGCAGTCTCAACCTCCTCAGCTCATGGGATCTTCCCGCCTGAGCCTCCCAAGTAGCTAGGACTACACATGCCACCACACCCAGATAATTTTTTGTATTTTTTGCAGGATTTTGCCATGTTGCCCATGCTGGTCTCGAGCTCGTGAGTTCAAGGGATCCATTCGCCTGCCTCAGACTCCCAAAGTGTTGGAATCACAGGCGTGAGCCACCACAGCCGGCCAAAAACCTGGGTTCTAAAAACAGTCTACAGTAAATTGCCAAACATAAATGACTCTGAAGATCCAAATAATTTTTGAGAGCCAATTTGAATAACTTTTGGGGATACAGATGAAACAACCTAATGCTAGTTAGAATATTTAATTTAGTTACATGCACTAATTTTTTTTTTTTTGAGATGGAGTTTCACTCCCATCGTGCCGGCAGGAGTGCAGTGGCGCGATCTCGGCTCACTGCAACCTCCACCTCTCAGGCTCAAGTCATTCTCCTTTCTCAGCCTACCAAGTAGCTGGGATTATAGGTGTGCACTACCACGCCTGGCTAAGTTTTGTATTTTTAGTAGAGATGGGGTTTCACCATGTTGGCCAGGCTGGTCTCAAACTCCTGACCTCAGGTGATCTTCCCAAAGTGCTAGGATTACAGGCGTGAGCCACCATGCCCAGCCTACATGTACTAATTCAGTTATACATAATATTATAATAAAATATGAAGTTAGAAATATTGTTTTTATTCCTCTCTCACCTTTCACAACAATAATTTTCATTCAAACTCATTATACAGATCTTTTACCAGAACCACTTTATTTCTTCAACAGTTTTCCAGAGTATAGCACCTGCACTTTAAGTTGTTTCAAGTACAGACAATTTTGAATCCAAAATTGAAGCTGTCAATAGAAATTTTATCCCAGACAGTAAGTATACATATGCTTAACATTATATTCTGTCATTTGTCACAGCCTTTCAAGGTACTGCTTTATTTATTTATTTATTTTATTGAGACAGGGATTCACTTTGTCACCCAGGCTGAAGCGAAGTATTGCTTTTTTTTTTTTTTTCTTTTTCTTTTTTTCAGACAGTCTCTTGCTTAGTTGCCCAGGCTGGAGTGCAGTGGCGCAATCTCGGCTCACTGCAACCTCCGCCTCCCAGGCTCAAGTCATTCTCCTGTCTCAACCTCCCAAGTAGCTGGGATTACAGGCACCTGCCACCAGGTCCGGCTAATTTTTGTATTTTTAGTAGAGATGGGGTTTTACCATGTTAGCCAGGCTGGTCTTGAACTCTGACCTCAGGTGATCCACTCGCTTCAGCCTCCCAAAGTGCTGGGATTACAGGCATGAGCCACTGCACCCAGCCGAGGTATTGCTTTTTAAAGAGGTCTTTAAAACATATTTACAGTGACATCCAATATTCACAGTTGTACATCTTTCACCCAGGAATTAAACACAGGAATTAAGTCTATGTTTAATTTCTTTGACCCCACCCTCTTTTTGTAAACTAATTCTATAACTGACACTCTTAAGCATACCCACCGGCACTGACTAAGGATTCAGGCTGAGGCATCTTTCTTTCCTCAATAGTACTTGTTCAAAATAAAACAACTGAAACAATACCTTGGCCAGCAGCAATGGCTCATGCCTGTAATCCCAATACTTTGGGAGGTCAAGGCAGGAGGGTCATTTGAGGTCAGGAGTTCAAGACTAGCCTGGGAAACACAGCAAGACCCCGTCTCTACAAAAAATTTAAAAATTAGCCAAGAGTAGTGGCCGGTGCCTATAGCTCCAGTTACTTGGGAGGCTGAAGTGAGGGGACTGCTTAAGCCCAGGTGGTGGAGGCTGTAGTAAGCCATGATTGCACCACTACACTTCAGCCTGGGTGATACAGCGAGGCTCTGACTCAATAATACAAACACTTGAACCACCATAAACACTCAAAGCTGATTACTTCTTGCTGGGAGTTAACTGTGAGGGGGTGCTTAATTAAAAATTCAGGGATATACAGTACCTGAGTTTGAATCCTGACTCCACCCACCTCCCCCCACCCCATTTACAAGCTGTTTGACTCTGGGCAAGTTACTTCATTTGTAAAACTGTTGTGAGGATTACGTAAGATAATGCACATAAAGTACTCAGTACAGTGCCTGGCACATAGTAAACATTCAATAAACCTTAGTTGCCATTATTATTACTAGTGCATGTAGCTGATTTTATCCAAACTCTGACTCCAACATAGCTTGGAAACCTTGGGCAAATCACTAACCTCTCTGTGTCTCAGTTTCCTCTCCTATAAATGGGAATAATATTATCACTTACCTCCTGGGACTGTTGTGAAGATTAAATGTGTTAACACATAGAGAGATATAGTTAAGTGTTAGCTGTAGTTAAGTATTAGAGGTCCCAGGTACTCTAGAAAAAAGTTGAGGGAGCCAGGTGCAGTGGCTCACCCCTGTAATCACAGCACTTTGGGAGGCCAAGGCGGGCAGATCACTTGAGGTCAGGAGTTTGATACCAGCCTGGTCAAGATGGTGACACCCTGTCTCTACTAAAAATACAAAAATTAGCCAGGCTGCAGCCCTAAAACAGGATGAGTTCATGTCCTTTGCAGGGACATGGATGAAGCTGTAAACCATCATTCTCAGCAAACTAACACAGGAAAAGAAAACCAAATACCACATGTTCTCACTCATAAGTAGGAGGTGAACAATGAGAACACATGGACACAGGGAGGGGACTATCACATATTGGGGCCTGTTGGGGGTGGGGAGTTAGGGGAGGGATATATAGCATTAGGAGAAATACCTAATGTAGATGATGGGTTGATGGGTGCAGCAAACCACCATGGCATGTGTATACCTATGTAACACACCTGCGCATTCTGCCCATGTATCCCAGAACTTAAATTTTTAAAAAAGGAAATATATACCAAAAAAAAAAAAAAATTAGCCAGGCGTGGTGGCGGGCGCCAAAATCCCAGCTAGTCAGGAGGCTGAGGCAGGAGAGTTACTTGACCCCGGGAGGCAGAGCTTGCAGTGAGCTGATATTGCACCACTGCCCTCCAGCCTGGGGGACAGAGCAAGATTCCAACTCAAACAAAAAAGAGCTGAGGAAAAATACACAGTTGGCCTCTTGATGTAGAACGTGGGTTCCACATTCATGGATTCCACCAACCATGGACTGAAAATATTCAAAAGAATAAATGTTTGAGATGATGGATATGCTAATTACCCTGATCTGATCACTATACATTACATGCACATCACTATCCACCACCATGAATATGTACAATTACTGTCCCCATTTTTAAAATATAAAAATAAATCATTTAAAAGTGAAATACATTTGAAACCATTAAAAAATATTCAGAAAAAAACTGGATGGTTACATCTGTAATGAACATGTACAAACACCCTTCCTTGTTATTACTTCCTAAACAATACAACCATTTATATAGCATTTACATTTTATTAGTTGTTGTAAATCACCTAGAGATTATTTAAAGTATATGGGAGGACATGTGTAGGTTATATGCAAATTTTATATTTTTTTAATTTTTTTATCTTTTTAATTGTTTTAAGAGAAGTGGGCACGTGCCTGTTCCAGATAAAATACCACACCATTTTATGTAAGGGACTTGAGCATCTACAGATTTTGGTATCCTCAGTAGAGGTCCTGGAACCAATCTCTAACATATACTGTGGGATGACTATAGCTAATTTAGTTCAACATTGTACACAACAATGTATCATATTAGCCACTGTAAAATGCAACTTTGGGTAACTGTGTTTCCATATGTGTATATATACTTAGATATCCACGCCTATATAACATTTCTCATTTCTCATATATAACACATAAATATATGGTTAAACAAACATACAGTCCATGTAGGAAGTGGTTGAAAATTTTTGGCATTTTTTAACAAGTTTGACCCCATGTATTCTAATCTACTTATTCCCCAAACATTTAGTATGACTGCTAAGTATTAGCTGCTGTGCTGGATACCAGGAATACAAAGACAGATCAGATAGTCCTCTGCCTTTAAAAAGTTAGTGTAGGGGGACAGGGTGAGGAAAAAAAAAAAAAAAAGAAAAAGCCAGTGCAGTGCCACCAGCGCCAAAAAGAAAGACCAGCTACACAAGACCATCTCAAAAACCCTTTACCCAAATGAATCTTCCCAGTCAGGAGTCCACACATTACCTTAGACCATCTGGGAGGCCTTCGTCTGATTTGGAAGCACATAAACTAGAAGATTCCGGAGGACTGGGGGCATTGGCCACAACACCAGCGACCTCAGATGCTGCCATTATGCTCTGTACATTCAGAAACAAATTACAGGCTACAAGTTTCCAAAGTTTAAAACAAATGTATCTCTCCCCCCTCAGAATGTCCACACAACAGAGCTGTTCCAGTAAAGAAACACAAAAACCTGGGCTCCAGGAGAAAATACTTAAGAGTACTGAAAGAGACATTGCATGCAAGGTCCCAGTGGGCACAATCCTCAGGAGTCACTGTATTTACATAAATATCTAGGAGTCTATGCAAAGATCTTATTTTCACTTTTGGCAGAAATGTAGTCATTTAAAACAACAGATCATAGTTTGTGAGGATCTTCCAAGTGGTCCCATGCCTACCTTGTCTGCTATCATTTATAATAAAAGATGTACCTTTTGGCCTAGTATCAATCAGATCTCATGTTTTTAAATCACTTTATGGTTGTTATATTCAAAGCATTCTCCATTAATTTAAGTGAAGTTTTTGGAGGTGCTTGCCAGTAAGTGAACAAGTAATGCCATACTGGGCAATCCAGGGTGCATCTTTACTGTCCCACAGATGGGAAAGGCCTGATACCCACTAACTGAGCAAAGTACATACTCTTCAAAGTGACTAGCGGTGCAAAAAAGAAGCCTCGGTTCTGTGGCATGAAAATGACAAGGTGAAAAACATGGCAACACAAGTAAGGGAACTGGGACGGATGCCTTTTTTAAAAATCAAAGGTCATCTTTTATGCTGCAGAGCAAACTTACGACATTATGAGGAGAAAAGAAAATCAAAATACTTGGGAGGTGGGGGTGAATGTAAGGTTAGTTTGCATTCTTGCTTTTATTTTAACAGCATCACAGGTATTCCCCCAGGAACACTGAAGAGGGCACGGGGTAGATATGGAGAAAGGGCTGTGTCAACACCTCAGTCACAGACCGCAGAACCTCTGTGCCTCAGTTTCCCTCATTATACAAAGCTCCTGGGAGAAAATGGGCCCCAAATCGCCATTACTTCTCCCTCAGGTGCAAACATGCCGTCTCCAATAGAGCCCAGGGCCCGGGGTTCTCGGCACCCGGTGAACGAAACCTCAGAACAAGGGTCACCCATGCAACTCCGTGGCTAGAGAGCCCGTGGCTCAGGGAGAAACAGCTGGCTGGAGGGTTGAGTGTGCCGAAAAGAACCCCGCAACCCGGGAGACCACCGCGAGGCGGCGGCGCCGGAGCCACGGGTCCTCGGGCGAAAACAGGGGACAAGACGGGAAGGGGACAATGGGGGGAAGCGGCGCTGGCCGCCCTCCGCCACCTTCCACAGGGCACTGCTAGGCTGGCCGCTGGCTCGGAAAAGACCCCCCTCCACCCCTTCCCCTCGGGCCCCCACCCCGCTGCCAGCCCCCCATCCCACTTCTAGGCCGGGACCCCCGCCTCGGTTCTCACAGCACCCTCCACGCCCCCCCCCGACCCCCGCCCCCGGCCCTCGCCCCACAGCCCCCTCCCACGCCCGCCCCGCACACACCTCCCGCGCCGCGCCCCCGAGAGAAAAGTGGGGGAGGGACGGGACGCACCTGAGCGGGCGGAGCGGGGGGAGGGGGCGGCCGAGCCACGGGGGGAGGGGTCGAGCGCCGGCCCGCGCACGGCACCTCCCACTTCCGGCGGCACGAGCGGAGGGGGCGAGGCTCAGGCCGCGAGAGGAGAGGCCGCGGTGGCGCTGCGCCGCCCCCGACGGCGCCCTCTGGCGGCCAGAGCTGGCGCCGCCGGGGCACTGGGATGCTGCAGGAGACCCCTGAGATACATACAGGTGGACTCTCCCGGGGCGCAGGGAAGAAGGGAAAGCTGACTCCGAGAAGTAAGGAGGCCTGGCGGGGCAGAAGCCCCTCTGGGAAGATTACAGGGACAGTCGGGGCCATGGCGGTCAAAGGGAGAAGAGCAACGAGGGGTTTTAAAGGTCGGAACCGAGATGCCCTCTAAAGAGGACGCCATGAAGGAGAAGAACCCTCTGAAGAGGGACCGTGTGGAAGATGCCCCGAGGACTCGGGGCGGCGGAGCCCGCGGGTTCAGCCCCCCGCGCCCGCACGGCCCCTGCCCGCGGAGGCCGCCCGCGGGAGCCGGACCCCGGGAGCCCGTTGCTGGGGCCCGCGAGGTCGCCGGGCCGCAGGCGTCGCGCTGATTGGCTGCGCCTCGGGCGGAAGTGATGCTGCTGTCACTGCTCCTCAGGCTCCCGGGAAGCCGCGAGTTTCCGCAGGGAGGCGGCGGCAGCTGCGGCCGGGTCGGTGAGTTAGGAACTAGGTGTGGGCTGGACCTGGGGAGTCGGGGGGGGGCAGAAGTTGGGGGAGCCAGCGTCTGAGGATGTGGGAGCTGCTCAGAGGGTGCCTGAGGTCCTGGCGTGGGGGACCCTAGGGAGATAGGGCCCCAGGGTCCAGGATTCCAGAATAGTGTGGGTGCTAATGAGGAGGGGGCACATTGCACGGAGCGATCGAAGTCGATGGAGAGAGAATCGGGAAACTGACCCGGTACCCACGCTGGCTTCTAGGAGCGGGGTGCAGAGCAGCGAGGGCAGTCACTTGGGAGCAGGATCTTAGACTCCAGGCTGCTCATTCTCTTCTTCCGTGTCAACTAAGAGCCGTAAAGAGAGGCCTAGCCATTGGGAGAGGTTGGCATCTGCCTTCAGAAGGCATTTAAGGTTCCTTTCCCAGAAGCTTCGGGGATAAAAATGCTGCTCTGCCACTGGGAGAAAGGAGGAGGTCATGCTTCTCTTTCTTCCGGAAATCTGTGGTGGGAATCTACGGAGTCTGAAGGAGCTAGCCTAGAGGCGTCACTGTCTGGCTAACAAGGGCCTTTTTTGTTTGTTTACTTAATAGACTATGCAGACTGGGGAAGACAAATATCTTGGGAGAATTGAGGCTCCCGGGGGCAGGGAGGGATTGAGAGGAAATATGTCTGGAAACCTAAGAGAAAAAGAGAGGAAGAAATGTGGAATGAAGATTTTTAGAGGGAAATGAGAGGTGGCATAAGTTCTCCTCTCGCTTTCCAGGAAGTCTTTCAGTAAAATTCCCATTTTCCTGGAATGCGTTGAGGTAGAGCCGCTTGGGTTTGTGTCCGAGTACTAAGCCCTGCCCCAGGGCGGACTCAGCGGAGAGCAAAGGCTTTTAAAGGAGCCTAGCCACCATAGGTACAAACACGTCCTGCCACCCCATTTGTCTGTCCCTGAGTTTCTAACTTGGTTCTTCTTTTCTTTGAGGGCTCCTAAGACCAATTCCCTGGCTCTGCCAAACCTAGGCAATGGGAGTCCCAGTATGGAGCCCAAGTCCTCACCTTGAAGCCAGCCTCCTGAGCTCGGTCCAGGGGTAGCTGCTTAGTGAGGTTCTCTGGTCATTCCTTCTCTCCTGTTTGCCCTTGGTGCCTGTTCTGTTTTGTTTGCACTTTCCGCCTTTCTTCTCGTTTCACCTCCACCTCCTGCCTCCTCTTACTTTCCCTGGTATCTTTCTCAGATCAGGAAGTTAGCTACCACCTGGACTTCTAGGACGTTATTACCTACTTTTTCAGGAGGCATTTTGGTAGCAGTTTTTTTGCTAGGCCTCTAGGGAAAAACAGGAAAAGAGGGTGGCATGATAGCACAGGAAGTAGGGTTTCTGGGTGTTATACTGATTTGGCCTCACCATACCAGTTCTGTGCCAGTCTATGACCTATTTTAGATCTTTGGAAATGACGAGTAATCAAGTTTCTTTGGTCCCTGGTCCTGGAGTTTATCTAACTTCTGCTCATTGCACTGGGATTGGTGGGACATTATTTCTTTGTTCTTGGGTTCCACAGGTCTGTAGCCTTTGCTGAATCATCACAGAGAAAGTGATGCCTTTTCTCCATTTGCACAACATGAGTGTGACGTGGTTAGCCAGACCAGGAGCTCAACCTCATGTAGAGTCCAGGTGGGCACGGGGCCCTGTTATGGGGAGTTAGCCTTGAGGACAGCTGGACTGAGGAGTCAGCTAGGGAAAGATTTCTGTCCCCTCTAAAGGCAGGGATAAAGGGGCTGTCTCTCCTAAAGCAGTCACGATGCAGCCAGTAGTCTGTGGGAGCTATGTGTGCTTTGAGTCCCATGGGTGGCAACAGGGGACAGGTGCAGTGCCTGTGAGCAACTGGACCTCCTGCTGGATGAGCTGGGGTGGTGAGGATTGGCTGTCTTGCTGCAGGAGGCTGTCTGCTGGTGTTAGTCGTGGCCCACACTCTATTTGGGTGCGTATCCCAGTTGGTCAGGGTTCAACGTGAACAGAGGGATCAAATGTTGAATAAAAGGCATGGCTTGGGGACTTCCAGGGGGAATGCATGGATGGCTCAGCATCTCTCTCTCAGATTCCTGTAGTTACCAGCTCTTCGATCTCTTCCACATCGTTTTTCTTTGTCTGCAGACCACTGCTCTGATGCCGAAGGGGAGGCAGAAAGTGCCACACTTGGATGCCCCCCTGGGCCTGCCCACCTGCCTCTGGCTGGAATTAGCCGGGCTCTTGTTACTGGTTCCCTGGGTCATGGGCCTGGCAGGGACAGGTGGGCCTGATGGCCATGGTCCAGGGGGGCCAAGCTGGGCTGTGCACCTGGAAAGCCTGGAAGGTGAGGGGGAGGAAGAGACTCTGGAGCAGCAGGCGGATACCTTGGCTCAGGCAGCAGGGCTGGTGAATGCTGGACGCATCGGAGAGCTTCAGGGGCACTACCTCTTTGTCCAGCCTGCTGGGTACAGACCGGCCCTGGAGATGGAGGCCATCCGGCAGCAGGTGGAGGCTGTGTTGGCTGGGCATGAAGCTGTGCGCTGGCACTCAGAGCAGAGGCTGCTAAGGCGGGCCAAGCGCAGCGTCCACTTCAATGACCCCAAGTACCCGCAGCAGTGGCACCTGGTGAGTCCAGCCCTGCAGTTTACAGTTTCAGGTGGGTGGGTTCCGGCCATTTCTTTAGTGGGCTTTTGACTGTAGCACTCTTCAATAGCCTCCATCCTTTGCCTGAGGGACCATTTCCCATTTCTGTAGTGTTTCTCTTGGCTCTCCCTCCCCTCTACTGTCTTCTAGAGGCCAGTGTTCTGTAGTGCTCAGGGCACAGATGGTGCACCCTGACTGCCTGGGGCTCATGGTCCAGCTCTGCCACTTTCTAGTATGTGCATTTGGGCAAGCTGCTTAAGCTCTGTGCCTCAGCTTCCCCATCTATAAAGTGGAGATGGTAATAGTGCCTACCTCATAGAGTTATGGTTAGGGTAAGTAAATGCGTACATGTGCAGTACTTAGAACAGTGCCCGACACATGGTAAACGCTATGACATAAGTGATATGATACTAACATTGGCATAAGAAGTATATCATCCAACCCTGAACCCTAGCCACCATTTTACCTCGAATCACCCATGACTGATGGTGAGCCTTCCTGGACTCCGAGGCTGTGGCAGAGCTCTCACCTGCCCCTCCTTGGCTCTGTTCCCACCTGACGATAGGTCTGCAAACTCTGTCTGGCTCTTCCGTGGAGGCCAAGCATGCAAAGGGGCTGCCAGCTACAACTTCACCTCCCTCTGGGCTGGACTGTGTGTCACTGGATCCCCACCCTGTCTCTCTTACAGAATAACCGACGGATCCCAGGCAGGGACATCAATGTGACGGGTGTGTGGGAGCGCAATGTGACTGGGCGAGGGGTGACGGTGGTGGTAGTGGATGACGGAGTGGAACACACCATCCAGGACATTGCACCCAACTATGTGAGTGGCCCTAGAACGACTACCCGCACCCCCACATCTTACCTCCTTCTTGATGTTGCCTCAGTCTTGTCCCCTTTTCTAGAGCTGTTTGGGCCAAACAAAAGAGCCTGGGAGGTGGGATGGGGTTCATCCTCCTTTTCCCCAGCCAGCATTCACGACTGGCAGTCAAGGCAAGGGAGAGCAGTCCTGCTTCCTGTTCTAGTCCCTTTCTGACGAGTAAGGAATGGCCCCTGTAGGCAGCTTCCTTCTTGATGGAAATCCGAGTGCCTTCCTCTGTCTAAAGCATGGCCCCTGCTGAGCCCTACCTGCCTTTTATTCCAGGTTTCCCAAGCTGTGGAGCAGTAGGCACATTCACATAATAGGCAAGGGAAGTTTGCTGGGAGCTGTGGCACTTCTCAGTTTTGCCCCAGAGTCCTTTGCTCATATCTTTTAGCCAGTGTGGTTTGCAGATAGAGAGGCTTATTGCCCTGTCTTCGAATCCCAAACCCCCATTTCCTTTCTCTCCCTGAACCCCAGGACCTGACCCCCCAACCAGTGAATGATCACATGTCACTCCCAAAATATTTCAGAGCCCTGAGGGTAGCTATGACCTCAACTCTAATGACCCTGACCCCATGCCTCACCCGGATGTGGAGAATGGCAACCACCATGGCACACGATGCGCAGGAGAGATCGCGGCTGTGCCCAACAACAGCTTCTGTGCCGTGGGTGTGGCCTACGGGAGCCGCATCGCAGGTAACTTGTGCCTCCAACCTAGCGTTGGTAGGCTGCTACTGGGACTCCAGTCTTCGTTTCCTGCACCCCTCCCTACTCTTAAGCGCCTTTATCCCATAGCCCAGCTGACACACATAGCCTAGAGCAAGGGTAAGCTTATAGTAAGTGTCTGTAGGACAAATCAGCTTATGGATTTTTCGGTGCAGTGGTGTTTCAAATGTGTTTTTCTATTTGTATTTCCATAATTTACAAAGTGCCGTTTTGTCAGTTCTTCCTCAATGATTCGATAGGTCTATGGGGGCAACTCTTGCATGTCCTAGCTCTCCAGCTCCCAGTCCCACTGATGGTCATGGACTGCGCTCCATCTTTTTGGGAGAGCTGAGCAGCCCTATTCCTCCCTGGAGGTGGTTCTGTGATTCCTTCACACTCAACCTCTGTCCATCAGGGGAGACGGTATAGAGAACTAATGGTGAAGCCCTCACCTTAACTCCTAATAAGTGCTTAGGAATCTACAGACTGAATAGACTAACTGTATTCCTCTTACACTCCAGCAGAGGGCAGTAGCCTTCCATAAATGAGACTACACAGGGTAGCCCGTAGTCTCATTTACGGAAGTCTCATTTTAGCGTCTCCAAGTCCCTTGTCTGAAAGTGCACTGCAGCCTGGGCAACAGAGCAAGACTCTGTCTCTGTATATATGTATATATTTTTGCTGAGGGGACAAGTAATACATATAAAAATGCAAAATGGGCCGGGCAGGGTGGCTCATACCTGTAATCCCAGCACTTTGGGTGGCCAAGGCGGGCAGATCACCTGTAGTCAGGAGTTCAGGTGACTGAGACCAGCCTGGTCAACATGATAAAACCCTGCCCCTACTAAAAGTACAAAAATTACCAGGCATGGTGGTGGGCACCTGCAATCCCAGCTACTCGGGAGGCTAAAACAGGAGAATTGCTTGAACCTGAGAGGCCAAGGTTGCAGTGAGCCGAGATCACTCTATCGCACTCCAGCCTAGGTGATAGAGTGAGACTCTGTCTCAAAAAAAAAAGCAAAATGTACAAAGAGCATGTAGAGAATAAGTCTCCCACATATGGCTCCCCACCTCCCAGTTCCCTGGCTGGGAGACCAGCGTTAGTGAGGAGCTGCTATGGCCTTCATTGCCTAGGTATCCGGGTACTGGATGGACCTCTCACAGACAGCATGGAGGCAGTGGCATTCAACAAGCACTATCAGATCAATGACATCTACAGCTGCAGGTGAGGCAGAGCTACAGGTGAGAGGGCAAGAGGCTGGAGCATCTGGGACAAATCTGCCAACAAAAGCCCAACCAAGTGGGCTGACTCTGGCAGGCCAGAGCAGGGGTCTCTTCATTGGATTCAGCTAATGAGTCCATTGCCTTCATTTCTCTAGATCCCCAGTCACTGGGTTCTCAACCTTAAGCCCCCGTCACCCCAGTAATCAGGTTCCCACATGAGAAGCTCTGTTCTGTGCACATTTATGTTTTTCTAAGCTCTAAGGCCTCTGCAAGAAAGTAGGCTTTCCTCTCCAACCACAGGCCAGCTGAATGCCCAACACCAATCCTCCACCCTACTTTAATGTACTGCAGCTTCAGGGCATGGCTGTGCTGGGCTGGACAAGAAGGAAATGGGATTGGGAGCCCCCATGACATTGATGGCACCTGTTCCTCCCCCAACATACCTCCCTTAAATCTACGACATCACCGGGTACACTTCCTGATAGAGACAGAATAGAGAACTCCTCAGCCTGTGGAACTTCCACAGAAGTTCCTGGGTGCTCTGCCTTCAAGCTTATGAGTCGGGCCAGGTGCTGTGGCTCACACCTGTAATCCCAGCACTTTAGGAGGCTGAGGCCGGTGGATTGCTTGAGGTCAGGAGTTCAAGACCAGCCTGACCAACATGGTGAAACCCCATCTCTACTAAAAATACAAAAATTTGCTGGGCATGTTGGCAGGCACATGTAATCCAAGCTACTCGGGAGGTTGAGGCAGGAGAATCACTTGAACCCGGGAGGCGGAGGTTGTAGTGAGCCTAGATCATGCCACTGCACTCCAGCCTAAGTGACAGAGTGAGACTGTCTCAAAAAAAAAAAAAAAGAAAAAAAGCCTACAAGTCTCTGATCCCTAGGTCAGGAGATGAGTGACCCCTGTCCCTCTCTGCCACTATGGGCTGTGGGAACATTGACAAGGAAAAGAAAAGCCTTAGCACACTTCTGTCTTCTACTTTGGAGAGGGGATGGACCTTTGAACCCTGTGCCTTTTAATCATGGGAGCCTTTAAGTGGAACCCTTGGGAAAAGTTAAGAGATGCAGGTCCAAGGGTAGCCAGCTAAGACTGGGAGGCCTTGGGTGGGTAGCCACAGCCTGGCTCGGCTGTTCCCTCTAGGTATTTATTTCTCAACAGCTGGGGACCAGATGATGATGGGAAGACAGTGGATGGCCCCCATCAGCTTGGAAAGGTAACTGGCCTGCACAAAGACTCTGGGAGACGGGACGCCCTCTTCATTCAGTCCTAGAGGAACTGCTGCAAGTTGACCTGTCTTCCCACTCCACCCCCATGCGTAGTCTCCTTTCAGGAAGAGTACACCTAACGTGGAGGCAGGAAGCATGGGGGACATTGGTTCCTAGAGAGGGAAATGGAACCGTGCTTTGAGATTGTTTCCCTTTCATCTTGTCCTCAGCTCCCATGCCTGGCCCTACCCTATCCAATAAGCGGAGTGCGTCCATCAGTCATCGTTCAACTCACAGCTCCCCCACATCCTGGGTCCATCTTCCAATCCTTCCCCCCTGCCCAGTGCCCTTTGAACTTTTTCCTTCTGTTTTTAGAAGGGATGGAGAGGGTGACTGATGTGGTAGGCGGAGGTCTGTCTATGGGTTCCTCAACTGATACCCTGATGTTTTGGCTCCTCAGGCTGCCTTGCAACATGGGGTGATTGCTGGTCGCCAGGGCTTTGGGAGTATCTTTGTGGTAGCCAGTGGCAATGGGGGCCAACACAACGACAACTGCAACTACGATGGCTACGCCAACTCTATCTACACAGTCACCATAGGTAGTCACTGGACGGTTCCACGCGCGCGCGTGCATGTGTATGTGTGTGTGTGTGTCACCGAATGGTGAGGGCGTCGCGGGTCGTGTCCCAGCTTCTGTGTGTCTAAATGTGTGAGCACAATAATCTCTTTGGGCTTAGATAGGACTAGCCCCTGCTTGCAGAGGACCTTGAGACTTCCTTAGATATCAACATACCCTGGGAACACCTTCAGACCGTCATCCGGGGTTCACCCAGCTGCCTCCACCCCACCACAGCTGGTTAGGCCTCTGCTCTGGCCTCTTTCTGTGGGCCAGCTGCCACCTGATGGAAGCCTCCCCTGACTCTCCACTGTCCTAAATTAAATGCCCTTTGCCTGTGTTCCCAGTTAGCACTTGCCACCCCAACTGCGTTTATTTACTTACCTGACTGTAGGCTCCTTGAGACCAGGACTGTGGCCTTTTCCATATGGCCCTGATGCCTGCACAGTGTGTGACCCACAGTAGATAGGAAATGAATGTTGAAAAAAGTGAGCATGTGAATGAATAAGTGGGTATGAAGGTAGAAGGCTGCCAGTTGTACTCCGGAGCCTATTGAAAGAATGATATTGGGGCACAGAATGCCCTCTGCCACTTGAGAGTGCCTGTTCAGAAGACAATCTACTTGGGCCACTCAGTTTGTTTCAAACTCAGGACAGCCCCCCAGGATGATAACTGCAAGATAACTGACATTAGCAAGCCCCTGCCACAGGACTCCCTCTTCCTCTCAGCTCTCATTTCTCTCCTCTGTCCCCAGGAGCTGTGGATGAGGAGGGACACATGCCTTTCTATGCAGAAGAATGTGCCTCCATGCTGGCAGTCACCTTCAGTGGTGGGGACAAGATGCTTCGGAGCATTGTGAGTGCTTCCTGGGCCCTCCATGCCCTGCCCCTTTCCCATAAGACTCCACGTCTTGGGCATCACAGCACTTCTCACCATTTCCTGCCTCCTTGTCCCAACACTCAGGCTCCTCCTCCCTCGCAGAGCTGGATCTCTTTAAGGCATGCCACCCTTGGAGGAGCAGACCCAGGGACTCTGAATGAATCTTGGGAATGCCTTTATCTTAGAAATTTGGACTTGGGACAAATATACATATTGTTATAGAAACTAAGTGTCACATGGGGCCTGACACAGTGGCTCACTCCCATAATCCCAGCACTTTGGGAGGCCAAGGCAGGTGGATCACTGGAAGTCAGGAGTTCAAGACCAGCCTAGCCAACATGGTGAAACCCCATCTGTACTAAAAATACAAAAGTTAGCCTGGTGTGGTGGCGGGCACCTGTTATCCCAGCTACTCGGGAGGCTGAGGCAGGAGAATTGTTTGAAACTGGGAGGCAGAGGTTACAGTGAGCCAAGATTGTGCCATTGTACTCCAGCCTGAGCTATAAAACAAGACTCCTCAAAAAAAAAGAAAGAAAGAAAGAAACTAAGTATCACATGTTTTAAACAACTTTTTCACACTCAAGGAAATGCACAGACAACTTCTTTGAAATGTCTTCCTTTGGTAAAATTTGGACTTTTGCTAATTTCTGTGGCCTTACAAAACCTCATCATTCCGTTGCCCTTCAGGCCTTAGGTAAATACTGTGGGTTCTGGTCATGTGCATCCTCAGGAGTAAAGCTAGTCTGGTGGTGGTTTTTATGGCATGGGTGGGAAGAGGAGTTAGGGAATGTGTCATGTCAACACCAGAGAGAGCTCTTTCTCTGGAGCTATAATTGGAGCCATAGCAAATGAGAGTGGAGCAGAGGCACAGAGCTTCTCAAACCTGTAGAACCCATTTAAAGAATTCAGAGGCAATTGCCTACACCCAGCTGGGCTTAGTGCCATCCCAATAGATTTAAACCAGGCCTCTAGACCATCATCCTAGAGCTCCCTGCCTGTCCCTGTTGCCCATAGCCATGTAATGTGGGCATGGGAGGCTCTAGGCAGGAGCTGGGCTGGAGCCAAGTGGTGTCAGATTTCTACAGTGGCTGAGTCGGGAGGCCTCTCTGGGGCCGTTGGGAATTAGGCTGCTTTGTCTTCCTGCTGGGTCAAATTTATTTTCCAAAACTGAAATTTTGTTATGCCAATAAATAACTTCTGGTCAACACAATGTTCCAAGGCTCTGTGCCAGTTGACCCCTACTACCCCCTGCCCCCAGACCCAGGGAGAAGAGAAAAGGGAGTGGATAGACAGGCAAGAGAGGCTGGGCTTTGTGCACAGAGGGCACCCACTGCAGGCCAGGCTGGGTTAGGAAGAACAGGAGCATACTACATTTTACCCTCTAGCAGAACTCTAGGGAACCCAGCTCATCTTGCCCAGGCTAGAGACCTAAGAAGGTTCTGCAACTTAATTTCTCTTCTTAACTCACCTCATCTTCTCACCCTCACCGCCTTCTTCCATATGAGCTATAATTTGCCCAGAAATGAAAACAGAGTGTGTTTAGCAGAGTTCCCATCTTTGGAATGTCTTTGCCATGGAAACTTCCTGTTGCCAGTTTCTAGTCAATGACCAGAGCAGCTGGGTGGAGCTGTCTTTCTGAGGTTAGAGGCTGGGGGCATACACTTCCCACCATTTGGCTCCGTGGGGAAATGAAACTTCTCTGGACTTTTCAATGTCTGCCTGCAGCTCCTGCCACTACAGGCAAGTTCATGGGCTTCACGGCTGCACTTCAGATTATCACTGCGAGGCTGTTTCCTTAACAGGAAAAAAATCAATCCGCTCCCTTGCATAAACCAGGCTTCCCACTCTTCATTGAGACTACCACTTGGAGAGTGTTTTTGCCTTTTTTTCTGGGACTGCACCATGTCTGGGTGAAAATTACATCTCCTGGCAGCTGCTGTAACAGCTGGGAGGGAAGCAGTGAGTACAGTGGAGAAAGGGCAGCTCTTGGCAGAAGTCGGCAGCCTGGTATCTGACCCAGATGAGAAGTTTGGAAGAAAGAAATTTTCTGGTCTTAGCACTGACACCATGGGCCAACGATCCAAGTGCCATGGAGTGGAGCAGATTTAGGCAGGGCCCTCCTCAGCTAAACCCTCAGGCTCCAAGGTTGACGAGAGCCCCAAAAGAGCTTGATGCCAGGCAGACATTGCCTCCCCCTGCCCCATTCTCACCCCCAACCTCAGAGCCACATGGAGAGAAGGGGGTTCAGGGCACCCAGCCCAGAGCAGTGAGGCAGCTTGTCCTGTTGAAAGCTGTAGAGCTGGGCAGGCAGGCCTTATAGACACTGAGTCTGTGCAGGGCTCGGGGGTGGGCAAGGACACAGTCCTCTCTTGCTGGGAACACACTCCCTGTGTTCGCCCCGACATCATTCCAGCCCCTGTCACGGAGCTGCCAAATTGGATTTCCTTGAATGGTGCTGTCACTGTTGTCCCAGCTCCAACTGGGCCCAGTAGCTCCCGTGGCCACTTCCTCTGTCTAGCTTGGTTGTGGGGATTGAAGGGCTTTGAGTTGGGGGTTGGGATAGAGAATTTAGGAATGGTAGCAAGAATATTAGGAGTAAAAATCAGGAGCGCCCCCCCCCCCACCACCATGGTGGCTCATGCCTGTAATCCCAGTACTTTGGGAGGCCAAGGCAGGAAGATCGCTTGAGGATAAGAGTTCAAGAACGGCCTGGGCAACATAGCAAGATGCTGTCTCTACGAAAAATAAAAATATTAGTGGGGTGCAGTAGTACATACCCGTAGTCCCAGCTGCATGGGAAACCAAAGCAGGAGGATCACTGGAACCCAGGAGTTCGAGGCTGCACTGAGCTATGATCTTACCACTGCACTCTAGCCTGGGTGACAAAGGGAGACCCTGTCTCAAGAAAAAAGAAAAAAAGTTGGGAAACCCTTATCTGCACTGGATGGGAGCCCTTTCCCATCTCTAACTCCTTTTCCCAACAGCCATACCCCTCAGAAATAACTTTTATTATCCTTGTCTCTGTTCTCCAGACATTCTGCTAGGAGGCCAGGAGGATTAGGATTTCCTTTGCCTTGCCCTGCTAGTGGGTCCCTCTCTGGTCAAAGATTCAGCTCTAACAAAGGAAGGATCCACCTGAGAGACTTGTTCTGACGACCATCCCTGTGCCTTTCCCCCGTAACAACTTTGAACTCAGTCTCTAGTTTCTTTTTTAAAAAATTATTATTTGAGACAGAGTCTCACTCTGTCTCCAGGCTGGAGTGCAATGGCTCGATCTCGGCTCCTTGTAACCTCCCACTCTCTGGTTCAAGTGATTCTCCTGCCTCAGCCTCCCAAGTAGCTGGAATTACAGGCATGCACAACCATGCCCAGCTAATTTTTGTATTTTTAGTAGAGATGGGATTTCACCATGTTGGCCAGAATGGTCTCAATCTCCTGACCTCATGACTGCCCGCCTCAGCCTCCCAAAGTGCTGGAATTACAGGTGTGAGCTATTTTTTATTTTTTAAAGATGAGTTCTCTGTCACCTAGGCTGGAGTGCAGTGACACAGTCATAGCTCACTGTAACCTTGAGCTCCTGTCCTCAAGCAATCCTCCTCCCTGAGACTCCCAAGTAGCTGGGACTATAGGTGCACATCACTGTCCCCAGCTTGAACTCAGTTTCTAACCCACTTCCTTCTCCCATTCCGCTTCCAGGTGACAACTGACTGGGACCTTCAGAAGGGCACTGGCTGCACTGAGGGCCACACAGGGACCTCAGCTGCAGCACCTCTGGCGGCTGGCATGATAGCCTTAATGCTGCAGGTGCGGCCCTGCCTCACGTGGCGTGATGTCCAGCACATCATTGTTTTCACAGCCACCCAGGTGAGATACCAGCAAGTGCCCTGGCCCAGCCTGCTCCAGAGTTCGGGTATCAGGTGGCTTTAGAGTCTCAGTGTCCCAAATGTTAAATACCAAGTCTCTTTCAGAGTCCCTTTCAGAGTTGCATATGTAAAGAGTAGGTGTAGGGACCCTACAAAGACCACAGACCTAAACTCATTTTATCTGCAAAGGATAGCTCTGGCTGTGCTTCCTGGCTCCCTCTCAAGAAGCAAGCCACTGGGGTGGTGACATCATGGGCTTTGACCTTTTGTCCCAGCTTCCCTTGAGGAATCCATTCCCAGTAGCCACAGTGGGAGAGCATGGACTGGATCAGCCAGCAGGGCAAGCAGGGAAACCAGAGTTAGGTCGTTGAGACTACATTGGCAATGCAAGAGACTAACCAGGACCTCTGTCCTTTCAGTACAAGGATCACCGTGCAGAGTGGGTCACCAACGAGGCAGGCTTCAGCCATAGCCACCAGCACGGTTTTGGACTGCTCAACGCTTGGAGGCTTGTGAATGCAGCCAAGGTGAACAGGTGTTAGCAGGGCAGGGTACCCCGTGGGGAGTGACCGAGGGATGGGGCTGAATGCCTAAAATGCTGCCTGGGATATTGTAGGTGCCTAGTAAATGTTCATTCAGTTCGTTTATTTAACCACTTCAACCTTCATCACAGCTGATATCCATTTTACAAATGAGAAAGCAGGTTCAATGCTGTCACTGAAGTTTCCAAACTGCTAATAGAGTAAATGAGACCTGTGTATGTGTGGGACTCAGGATGCTCTGGTTCCCCTCCTCCACCCTGGACACAGCCATTTCTTCTGGTTCCTTAACCAGGGGCTGTAAGGAACATTCCAGGGAGCAAGCAGGAGCCTAGGGCTGAAAGAAGGTGATAAGGAGTGGAAAAATAAAGTCAGCTAAACCTTTAAGATCATATTGACAAGGGTGTGTGTGTGAGAATGTGGGTGTGATCACTCTTGTTTGTTGATTTTTCATCCCCTCCTTTCCTTTCATAGATCTGGACATCTGTTCCTTACTTAGCATCCTACATCAGTCCTGTGTTAAAAGAGAACAAGGCAATTCCGCAGTCCCCCCGTTCCCTGGAGGTCCTGTGGAATGGTAAGTAATCAGGACAAAGGGGGTTAATCTTAGTCCTGAGGTTTGGGGCGGGGTGACAAGGAAGTTAAACTCGTCCTCCCTGCCAGATTCTACCCCCTTTCGGAGCTGAGCTCCAGCCAAACCTGTGGAGTTTTCTTTGACCATTTTAGGACATGTTACTGCTTCTGAGTTGGCTGCCCTGGCTGCTTAAACAAGACCTTTCTCCTGGGTTCCTAGGAGTGAAGAGGAGCAGAGGGCAACTGAGGAGGAAGGCGGGTGGGAGGCGTGGGACTGGGGCTTGAGGAGGTGAGGTGGGAGCAGGTGAGAGCTCAGAGAAGTTCTGGTACTTCCAAGCTAAGATCTTGCCAGAGAACTCTGGTCAGCCCTTTGGTGTCTGGATGAAGTAAAGGAGTTAGGCATTTCTTCTTTTGATCCTCAGGTATATCTAATAGAGTCAGATGCTGTCTGCTAAGGTGGACAGAGGATTTGTAGAAGTCTCCTGGGCTTCAGTGACCCGTTCTCTTCTCCCACCTCCATGGTGCCCAGCATGAACCAGGATTGTCTGAAGAGGGTGTGTCCTCCAGCCAGTGACTTGGTTTTATGCTGAGCACCGAGATGGACACCCTTCCCAGAGGAGAGTGCCGCTGGATCAGGATGCTTGTGCTAGAGGATGCCCTGTCTACACATTTACAGCGTTTTCCCTACCCCCAGCTCCTTGGGGGATTCTTTTTCCTTGAGTCATTTTGACATGCAGAGTTATTCACTACTTTTTGTAAATGCTTAGTGCCCAAACCAGAACTGTCTTCACTTTTTGTGTCCTCCTAGAAAGTGATCAATCCAGAGCCATGGCAGGAGAAGGAATGGCAAGAGAAGGTTGCTTAGAAGGGAGGATGGGGGGTAGCTTCCCTCGGGTGGTTTCACTGAAAAGAGTTGAGTTGTCTCTCTCCTAACCACATCCAGCATTTGCCCAAATTTCCCTCAATGTGGAATGAAACCCTGGGCCAGTCATTGCATTTCCCGTAAAAGGAATGTTATCTTGGAAAGGGCATAAAGCATTAGCCAAGTCAGAGAAGTTTAGAAACGTTTCCAGGAATGCAGTTCATTTGGAACCCCCTGGCTTTGCACTTGCATGTCTTAGAGATAGTGTGCCTTCAACTTTACCTTCCATCCAGGGCTATTTCCTGTTGCATCTGTCAAATGAGGGCATTGACTTAAAAGAAAATAGTGTTCTCCCCAGCTTCGTCATCTTCTGCTTCCTGCTGACCAGGGGACATTGCTGCAGAATGTCTACCCTAGGCATTGAGGCATCTGGCAATTGCTTGCTTGTCACTAAAAAGTAAGAGAAAGAAAGCTAAATTGTCTGGGTGGAGAAGAGTGGGAGGTGGTCTAGTGGAGAAAGCAGGATTGAGAGAGGGAGGGAAAGATTCAGGAAGGTTGGCTAATGGAGCCCTTTACCTGTTGGAAGGGCACCAAGCAAAAGTTTTACCAGAGTTTTTCCTACCCCCAGCTCCTTGGGGGATTTTTTTTTCCCCTGAGTAATTTTGACGTGCAGAGTTATTCACTACTTTTTGCAAAGTACTGCTTTGTTGGCTTTTCAGAGCCAGTGAAGTTGTCTTCCCCTCCAACATTTTCCTCTGAGCAGACAAAACAGAAGAGATAAGCTTGGGGGCTTGCTTGAAAGTTGAAGGAAATAAGTCCAGTTAAAACGAGAGTTGAGCTGGGTGCTATGGCTCATGCCTGTAATCTCAATACTTTAGGAGACTGAGGTGGGTGGATCACCTGAGGTCAGGAGTTCAAGATCAGTCTGACCAACATGGTGAAACCCTGTCTCTACTGAAAATACAAAATTAGCCAGATGCAGTGGTGGGCACCTCTAATCCCAACTACTTGGGAGGCTGAAGCAGGAGAATCACTTGAACCTGGGAGGCAGAGGTTGCAATGAGCCGAGATCGCACCATTGCACTCCAGCCTGAGCAAGAAGAGTGAAACTCCATGTAAAAAAAAAAAAAGTCCCAGGCAGTCAAGAAAGCCCTTCTACAGCCAAGTTATGGTTGTTTTTTACCAGGACCTGGTTGATTCCGTGTCTGGGGGCTGGAAAGTGAACTTTTTATAAAGCAGAGGGAGCTGAACATCCCTAAGATAGAGGAGGAGGTGAAATACCTCTAACACTCTAGAATAGCATTGTCCCAAAGAATTTTCTGCAATGATGGAACTGTTCTATGTCCATGCTACTCAGTTCAGTGGTCACTTGCCATCTGAGTCTATTGAACATTTACAGCATGATTGGCTGGACATGGTGGCTTACACCTGTAATCCCAACACTTTGGGAAGCTGAGGCGGGAGCATTGCTTATGCTCTTGAGTCCAAGACCAGCCTGAACAACATAGTGAGACCGTATCTCTACAAAAAATAAAATTAGTCAGGTGTGATGGTTCATGTTTCCTGGGACGCTGAAGCGAGAAGATTGCTTGAGCCCAGGATGTCAAGGCTGCAGTGAGCCATGGTTGCACTACTGCACTCCATCTGGGTGACAGAGTGAGACTTTGTCTCAATAATAATAATAGGCTGGATGACAGAGCAAGACTCTATCTCAGATGTAATAATAAGGCTAGTATGACTAAGAAGCTAAATTTTATTTATTTTAATTCATTTTAATTTAGATAGCCATGTGTGGCTAAGGGCTACCATATTGAGAAATGCTGCTAAAGAGCAAGAAAGGGCCAGGCGCAGTGACTCACGCCTGTAATCTCAGCACTTTGGGAGGCCAAGGCGGGTGGGTTCCCTGAGGTCAGGAGTTTGAGACCAGCCTGGCTAACATGGCGAAACCCCGTTTCTACTAAAAATACAAAAATTAGCCAGGCATGGTGGTGGGTGCCTGTAATCCCAGCTACTTGGGAGGCTGAGGCAGGGAGAATCACTTGAAGCCAGGAGGTAGAGGTTGCAGTGAGCCAAGATCGCACCATCGCACTCCAGCCTGGGTGACAGAACAAGATTCTGTCTCAAAAAAAAAAAAAAAAGAGCAAGACAGATTTTTATTTCTCCCCACTGACAGGAGGTTATGAGGGAGAGGGGATCTAAAAAAAACCCAAGGGTTTTTTAGATCTGACACTGGTCTGAAATCTCTGCCTGAGGTTAGGAGGGAGAGTGGGGCTCTGGAGGAGTGTGTTATCCACAAGAGAGTCTGTGATTAGAAGGTTCCTGAACACTTACTTGCACCTCTCCTTTGTTATTGTTTGCAGTCTTGAGGATCCTGGCTAAGCCTCTGCCTATGCAGTGAGCCCTGTTCCTTCCCCTCTCCAGGTCTTCCCTCTTTAACCCAACATTTCCCTCTCCGCTGATTCTTCCTTTCTGCCTCCAAATGCAAGTCCCTGCCACCTCCACCCAGGAAACTTTGCAAATGAATGAACTGAAGCAATTTCTCACCTTAGTCACACACTCCCTCTGCCACTGAAGACTTGCTTTCTTACTCATAGTGCCCCTTTCCTTACCGATTCAGGGGCTGGTTCAGAGTTCATCCTTTTTAACCTTCTTGTTGCTCTGACCCTATTAATGAGGCCTTTGTTGCAACCTCTGTCCTCCTCTAGCTTCTGTGACCTCCTTTGCTCCATAGTCCTCCTCTGCCCTCTCTGCCTGAGGTACTTGTGAACTGTGAGTGTCTTCTGAGGCTTGTTTCCTGACATTTTCCTCACCCTACATCCTCTTCCTCAACCATGCGGCTATGTTTATGATCTTAGCTACCACCTCTCTACAAATGAGTCTTTGATCTAAATCTCTTATTCTGATCCTCTACCAGTGGAAAGGATTGAGAGTAGAGCATAGCTTCCATAAGATTATGGGCAAATAGAGCCCTGACATCTTCCAGGACAGAGAGTGACTATTGAAAAACATCCCAATTTATCAAGGGCCAAATAATAAGATACTTTGTATGTGCCAAGCACTGTTCTAACTATTAGCTCATTTAATTCTGGTAGAGTGAGTTCTAGTGTAGTCATTCACACCGCCACCCAAGTCCCCACCTACACCAAGAAGTAAATGGATGTAGCATGCCACTGTGTATACTCTGAATGCACACAAGCACTCCTTTTGGGATTCTTTTCATTTTTGGATGCTATTCTGTTCCGTAACATGTCATTTCTCTCCTGTAAGGCCCTTCTCGGCCACATCAACACTCTTCTCCAACTATGCCTTAAATATTTTCCGTCATCTTTCTATTCCTAAACCATTGTGTGCTGTTGATATTCCACCAGTACATTACACTCAACATGTACAGAATTTTAGATCTCACTATGACCTCTCAAAAGCTGGCTTGCTTTGTAAGATTTTCCCATTTACGTCAGTGCCATCACTATTCCCTAGGACCCAAACTTGAAACTCAAGAGTTTTCCATCCCTCTATATCCCTGGCCTCTCCCCAGGGCTGGTGATGGCCTGGCCTTCCCTTATCCAAGCAAGAGTTAGGAAGTTTTTCTCCAGAGCCAGGGGCCCCAGGTATAGCACAAGTGGGAGGCAAAGACTCTACTTAGAAGATCCTTCTGCCCAAGCCAGTGGCTTACATCTCGAGGCACAGGCAGCCAGATGAGAGGAGTCCTTTCTGGAGAAATGGAACAGCTCCTCATGAAAAGATTTAGAGACACTGATATGTGGGGCTCCTCCAGTGAAACAACCAGATCCTGGTCCACTTAACTTTAGGGAACCCTGCCAGGTGAAAGGCTTCTCCTACAGTTCAGCTTCCACCTAGCTTTTGAAGACAATAGGCATCACTTGCTATTAGGAAAAAAATCCTCTGAATGCCTCCGGAATTCTGAGGAAAATTATCTTCAATCAATAAAACTATACCCCACCTAACTAATAATCACATGGGAAGGTGGACTAAGGATATTTTCAGACACTCAGGCTCTTGTGCACGCTCCACTTGTCTGAAAACTACTAAAAGATGTACTGCTCTGCAGCGAAGGCTAAACCAAGAGAAGAAAAGGAAAGAAAGCAAGGGAAGAAAGGGAGAGAAGAAGGGAGGGGAGAAGAGGAAGAGGAAATGAAAGCCTGGGAGAAGGGTAACAAAAGGTCCCAGCCCAACAGCAATGCAGCAGATAGGGATGGGGCAGAGGCTCCAGAGAGAATCTATAGGGGCAGATGGCCTTGAGGGAGCCCCTGACCTATTTTTTCCATTTAAAAAGTAGTATTCAGAGAAGTTATATAGTTCTTTTGTGAAGTTTGGAAAGAATTAGTGATAGGGACGTAAATTTAGGTAAACCAAAAAACAGGGCAATTATTAACTCCAGAAGGGAAAACAACGCATTGTTCAGGAAACTAAACATGATCATTATACACACTTGGCTAAATTAAATCTAATATTTATAAAGTCATTGTAAGGTAAACTAAATATTAATCTAACTAAAAATTGTGATGTAGGCCAGGCACAGTGGCACATGTCTGTAATCCCAGCACTTTGGGTGACTGAGGTGGGCCAGCCTCACTTGAGGTGAGGTCAGGAGTTCGAGACCAGCCTGGCTAACATGGTAAAACATTGTCTCCACTAAAAATACAAAAATTAGTTGGGTATGGTTGTACATGCCTGAAATCTCAGTAACTTGGGAGGCTGAGGCAGGAGAATCTCTTGAACTCAGGAGGTAGAGGTTGCAGTGAGCTGAGATCGTGCCACTGCACTCCAGCCTGGCGACAAAGCAAGGCTCTGTCTAAAAAAAAATAACAAAAACAAAAACTGTGATTATTTATTTTGTGAATGTGGTGGGGAAGATAACTGGGGGAAGGCATGGACGTGGGCATGATTTGTTCAGTTCTCATCTGCCATAATCAAAAGTGAATACGTAATGTCTCAAATGGATAAGCCATGAAATATCCATACACGCTTACTGTTTAGAAACACGAAAGTAGATCCCAGAAGAAAACAATTTAAAACAATAAAAAATGTTTGCTTCTGGGGAATAAATAGCAAAAGTGGTAAGGAGTGGGATAGGGAATTGTTTTTTCGTTATAAACACTCTAGAGCCAACTTACAAGCACCTGTAGCTGGGACCACAGGTGCTCACTACTATACCCAGCTAATTTTTTAATTTTTTGTAGAGGCGAGGTCTCCCAGGCTGAAGCAGTCCTCCTGCCTCAGCCTACCAAAGTGCTGGGATTATAGGAGTGAGCCACCATGCCTGGCCTAGAATAAATTAATGGAACAAAGGGTGCTTTAAAAAGAATTGTTCGCATTGCAACCTAATTTCTGTTTTGTTTTGTTTTTTTGTTTTTTGTTTTTTGAGACAGAATCTCACTCTGTCCCCCAGGCTGGAGTCCGTGGCCCGATCTCGGTTCACTACAACCTGCGCCTCCTGGGTTCAAGTGAGTCTTCTGCCTTAGCCTCCCAAATAGCTGGGGCTATAGGCGTGCACTACCACGTGTGGCTGATTTTTGTATTTTTAGTAGAGACAGGGTTTTCACCATATTGGCCAGGCTGGTCTCGAACTCCTGACCTCATGATCCGCCCTCCTCGGCCTCCCAAAGTGCTGGGATTACAGGCGTGAGCCACCTAGCCTGGCAACCTAATTTCTTAATCGTCCCCAGTGACTCTTCCACTTAAGTAGTTTTTGTTTGTTTGTTTGTTTTAGTAATTGTAGATTTTACAGGAGTTTGCAAAGAAATGTACAAGAGAAGTCCTACGCACCCTTCTCCCAATCCTTCTCCCACTCTTAATGTTTCACACAATTATAGTACAAGATCAAAACCAAGAAATTGATGTTGGTACAATCCATAGAACTTATTCAGAGTTCACCAGATATACATGCTTTCAATTCAATGTGTGTGTGTGTGTGTGTGTGTGTGTGTGTGTGTGTCTGTGTGTGTAGCTCTATGCAATTTTATCACATGTAGCCTTGCATAACCACCACCACAACCAAGATCTGGGACCGTTCCATTATCACAAGACTCCTTTGTGTTACCTCATTCTGGCCACACCCATCCCCTTCCCTGTCCCTGACCCCTGGCACCCATTTATCTGTTATCCATCTCTGCAAGTATGTTATTTCAACAAACATCACATAAATGGAATTGTGCACTACGCATCCTTTTTCTTTTCTTTTCTTTTTTTTTCTTTGAGACAAAGTCTTGTTCTGTCGCCCAGGCTGGAGTGCAGTGGCATGAGCATGGCTCACTACAACCTCCACCTCCCAGGCTCAAGCATCCTCCTACCTCACCCTCCCAGGATGCTGGGACCACAGCTGCACGCCACCTCCTTAAGTTTATCCAACAGCATTTTAAAAAAATTAATTGTGTATTGTCTTGAGTGAGATCTATGCATTTTCACTCATCTTTGTTCATGCCTTTTCCACTGCCTAGAATGCCCTCCACCAACCCTCTCTGCCGATCTGTGTTCATTTCCTTCACTGTGTCTCACTGCTGTGTTCCTAAACCCATCTGACTTATTTCTCTTCCCTTATCAATTATGTATATTTCTCATACCATATCATTTTCCACTTGCAGGTAGAAGACAGGGACCCTGCCCATCTTATCTTTATATTCCCAGCATCTAGTACAGTGCCTGAAATGTGGGAGGTATCCAGTAAATAATTTTTTTGATGAATAAATGATTGAAGTTGCTCTGCTGGGTTCTTATATTGTGTCTTGGGTATGTGTTATCTTCCCAACTAGACTCTAAGCTAGATTGTGAACTTGAAAGCAGCAACTCCATTCCATTTACTAGTATAGGAGAGGTCCCAGTTAGGGTTGCCGTAGTTGTTTGTCTGTGGCTTCAGTGAGCGTGTGTCTTTGTGTACGTGGGGGTGAAGTGAGGGCGTGTTTGTGGGCTGGTTTCCCAGCTGCCCAGCCTGACTTTCCACAGTCAGCAGGACGGACCTGGAGATGTCGGGACTGAAGACCCTGGAGCATGTGGCAGTGACAGTCTCCATCACTCACCCACGGCGAGGCAGCTTGGAACTGAAGCTGTTCTGCCCCAGCGGCATGATGTCCCTCATCGGCACCCCCCGCAGCATGGACTCGTACGTATACCCGCCCGAGACCTGAGCTCTCTAGAGCTTCAGCCAGGGCCTTTCCAAGGAAAAGAAACGGGAGAAGTGGATCCTGGCCCTGTCCTAAACTACTGTGACACTGGCTATCTCTGGCAGCTGGAAGCCTTTCGTCACATGCCTTCTTCAAGTGTGAGGCCCTGCACTTCACATACATGTTCTCTAATCCTTATAAGAACCCCATAGATTAGACTTTGTAACTTCCTTTTACAAATGAGGAAACTGGCTGGGCATGGTGGCTCACACCTATAATCCCAGCACTTTAGGAGGCCAAGGCAGGAGAATCACTTGAGGCCAGGAGTTCAAGACCAGCATGAGCAACAAAGTGAGACCCTGTCTCTATTAAAAAAAAATGTAAAGCTTAGCCAAGTATGGTGGTACATGCCTGTAGTCCCAGCTACTCAGGAGACTGAAGTGGGAGGATCACTTGAGCCCAGGAAGTCAAGGCTGCAGTGAGTTGTGGTCATGCCACTGCACTCCAGCTTGGGTAACAGAGCCTCTGTCT